AACGACCATTCAAATATTTTGTGGTAGAGTTTAAAATATTCATTGCACGTTCTTCGCTTTTTGACGCAACCGGTTTCACCTCAAGCTTGACTCCGCAGGTTTCGACCTCAAAGTAGTTACGCATAATTTGTTCAACTTCTCGTTCATGGACACTGCTTGTAATAATTTTTGTTTGAAATATTCTTTTCGTCGTACTTGCGGTTTCTCCGACAGGACCGTAAATTATCCAACCCAACCTCGTTCTTACAGCAATAGGGCCAGGGTTGCAAGATGTCCGTGGTATATCTAAAGGAGTAGTTAAATATGCATGTGAAAGACTTATTATCATTTTCGGATGTACATTTTTATATTTGTAAGTCGGTACTCCATTCAGATGTGAATATTTCTGAAGAGTGGTTTCTTTTAAAGAACTTTGTATCGGCAAAGCTAACTTTTTCGATAAAAATACTTTAGACATCAAATACCGTTGGCTTTCAGCTTCAGTGCCACTTATGGTTAATTGCACAATTTCTGTCGACTCATGTGACGAGACCCCGTTCAACCACTGCAGCTGTAACGAGTCTTTGCAGCCCTTAAGACCAAGTTCATGTGCTATATTCCAATCCAACATAGTAGCATCCGCTCCGTCGTCGACCATAGCATAAATTGAGACTTCTTTGTTGTCATGGTAGAGCTTGACTGGGATGATTTGAAAGAGTACTCCATCGTTTTTTGTATCAGCATGACAATTTCTACGGTCGATCAAACTCGCAACTGTTGTCTCCGCTGATTGCTGCAAGTTCGACTGACCATTATGGCGGGTTTCGTTAGGATGTAGTAGACGATTATGTAAACGCGCGAAATTGTTTATCCCACAACGTCTTTTGACATAACATTTCGACATTGGATGATTTGGCTTAAGGCATGAAAAGCAAATTCGTAGTTCTTTCACTTTTTTCCATCGGTCATCGACGCCCATACTAATAAACTGTGGGCACGCGTTAAGTGCTGCGCATTCACCCTGACAAAAACTACACTTGCTTTGAGCAACGCTTAAAAAAGAATACTTATTAGCTTTCGGTGGATGAGGATGTGGCGCAACGTCTTGAGTACGGCGGCTACCAGCAGCCGTCGCAGAAGGTAAACTGTCGGTTACCATATTCGCAAGTTTTCGCAAAGCGTTCAACCACTTACTGAAGTCTTCTACATTCGGGCATCGCTCCAACGAAAGACATTTCTCCGCCCACTGCATTTGCTTAGAGGTAGGCAGCTTTGTTACTAACTCGCTCAATAAAGACGGATTGGCTAGATGGTGATCTCCTTGCACGGATTTCAAAAATGTCGACATATTATTGACTTTAATCGCGAAATTTATTAACGGTTCGAGCTTTCCTTCCGGCACGTTAGAAATTAACCTAACCTTTTCAATTTGGCTTTTCATTAGCAACTCCGGCCGTCCGTAAGTTTCCGACAGAACTTCAATTATAGCGCTTACATTTTTCGAGGATGTTAGTAACGACTCCACTGTATCTCTAGCTCGTCCATGCAATGCTTCTCTAATCCGCATTATGTTATGTATATCGCTGTACTCCAATTCGACGGTGGTGCTTCTGAAATCTTCAATAAATGCTTGCCATTCTTCTGGCTGACCTCCGAATTTCGGTAAGGGATAGATTTTTTTTGCTTTGGCTGGTGGGCAGCTGTGGGGGTTAGAGGAAAGGTTAGAAAAAGACTCACCAGGTGTAGCATCAGGATGTGCTTGGGCGTTCGCGCCATTTGGTTGCGCGGGACTTGCTTGACGTTGAGCATTTGTGTCGTTTGGGGGCATAAGGTTTGTGGAAGACTCATTATTTCCGTTGGTAGCAACCGTTCTGGCGATGGCCTGAACTTCGTTGCGCAGGGCGTTAACGCTGGACTTATTTTGCTCATTCTGGCTGACGATTAGATTTTGCAGAGCAGCTATTTGTCTCTGGAATTCCCTTTGCATTTCCTTCAAATACCTAGCAGAGTCAGACTGCCGTGGCAAATTTTCAGTTTGACTCCTTCCAGTAGGGGGTTGAGGCTGCTTAGGGGCATTTGCTGCCTGCGGCGAATCTGGCATTGCGTACCGTTGCGGCGGGATTCCCTTGTTCTCTCGCGTGCTCCTTCGCGTTTCTGGCATAAACCGAGAATAAAGGCACATACAAATTTACTTCTGCCGGTATATGCAAAAATTTTAGGCAATTCGACTCCAAAAAATCACAGGCGATGCGACGAGAGAAACCAGATCCAAAAAACGGTGACGAGCAAAAGGGCAAACTGCTGCAAACGAAGCGAAGAATATAGTTGTCCGCTCGCATAAATAGCTTAAAGAATGAAACGCAAACTTCACAATAGAAGACGTGGCATGGTTTATTCTCTGTAAATATGTAGAGTTACAATAGCAAATAAATAATTATATTACAGTCAAATTACTCGCTTTCGGCTTTCTTCTATGCCGCGGACAGAACAATATTAACTTCTGACAAACGGAAGAGGCAATTTATATTCAATTTCGTAGATAGAATTTACTGTTAATAGCCGGCAAGAAATACGGAACAGAAAAACTAATAATAACTAATACATGAGTTAGGGATAACAAAAAACACAGAACAAAGAGTGATCGATATCGATTATTCAGGGTTGCCGTCATCAACAACAATTCAAATAATTCCAGTACTCCGTCAACAAATAATTCGACCACTAAACCGACCCCTACTAACCTTTATTCAAATGAAACACCTTTTGCTACCACTTCTACCAGCAATATTCCGCATCAACAAACTCCGATGCCGACCACTCAGCAGACCCATGCAGCAGATCTAACTTCAATGTCCCCAATATCCCTTTTTACACAAAATCTCCTAAAAAATAATAAATATTTCATTAAACAGGATAATACTGAAATTTTCAAAAGCAATATACCTGACATATAAAACAACTATATTTCAAGACTAATTATTTCTCGCTTCTGTAAACTTAAGTTTACAAAAAGTAGGGAACTTTTCCAGTATTTACGCCATGAACCTAAATATACTACAGTGGAATATGAAAGGTTTCTTTAACAATTTCACAGAACTGCAGATGCTTATAAAGCAACACAACCCGAGCATTATTGCACTTCAAGAAACCCATTGTTGTCACAGACACACCCCATCTCTACCAAATAATTATTCCAAATATTTTACAAATGCCGCAGCAAACACAACATCAAAACAAGGTGTTGGTTTATTAATTAAAAACCACATCCCTCATAAACAAGTTGACATAAACTCCCCGCTACAAGTAGTTCTGATTGAGGTCGAACTTAGCATTAAATTTACACTAGCGTCTATTTATATCCCACCTTCCCAAAGATTTTGCAGCATCGATCTAACCGATATTTTTGATTCAGTTAACACCCCATTAATAGTACTAGGCGACTTTAACGGGTGGAGTAACATATGGGGCTCCAACTCCACCAATCACAGGGGACTCACTATCGAAAATGCTATAAGACTGTCTGATCTATGCGTTCTGCACGATGGTAGCCCGACTCACTTCTCAACTCACTCTTCTTTTACCCACGTTGATATCTCCTTTTGCTCACCACCTCTATTCCCACTTATAAAATGGCAAATACTTAACGATCTTCACAATAGCGACCACTTTCCGATTATTTTAAAATTCTCATTGAACACCAACATTTCCCACCGTACCAAGGCCCCACCTAAGTTCCTCTTAGATCATGCCGACTGGATTAACTATGCAAAGCAAGTCGACCTCGAAATGGAAGCTCATCCCCTATCAAACTCCCCAAATCAAGAAGCAGCTAATGTTGCCAAAGCGATCCGAGCAGCAGCAAACCGTTGCATTCCACAGGTAGCATACCGTCCAGAAACCCATGTTCCCTGGTGGAATAAAATGCTTTCAAATCTCCGAAGGGAAAAAATGCAAGCTTGGTATAATTTCAAAAGTAACCCAACGCCATTAAATCTTATTAATTTCAAAAGGCGCAATGCTATCTTCCGTAAAGAAATGAAAGCTCAAAAAAGGCTTAGCTTCCAGAAGTTTACGGAATCTGTCTCCCCCCAACTCCTCTGTTTCCGATATATGGAGCAGAATCAACAGACTTTGCAATAGAAATCCATACAAACCCCTTCGGACCCATCAGTAATTTCAAATCATTTTGCCTCAGTGTGGTCAAACCTCTCTGATGATACCAATTTCCCCAATCAGTTTAGAAGTGAAAAATTGTATGCCCTAAATCATCTAACACCTCTTGGCGAAATACACCCGAAAGCAAAGCTCATCGAAAAAGTAATCACTGCGACAGAATTATCGATGTGCTTCGCAATAGCGAAAGGAAAAACTCCTGGCTTCGACCGCATTTCTTACAAGATGTTAAAAGAAATGTCCCATTTTGGAAAATCTCGATTGCTATGCCTCTATAACACTATATTTGATACCGGTATCATCATATATGTAATACTTCTATATTGGCAGTAAGCTATCTTCTCAATGTGTAAGCATTCCGAAATCAAAGCGAGACAGTCTAGTACGGTTTTTGTCAGTGTATTGTGTACTTGAGTGCCGTTTTTGTATATGTGTTGTGTACATGTTTATTTAGAAACGTATGCGTTCCTTTTCTTTCGTACGTGTTTATTGATATATCTGTACTGTAGTGTTTTCGGACGGTACTAGCTCTTACTGCCAATATAGGAGTATTACATATATGGGTATCATACCACAAAACTGGAAAGTCGACACTGTAGTTCCTATCCCTAAGGCAAATAAAAATCCCCTTTCAACTGACGGATACCGTCCTATTTCTCTTCTGTCTTGCTTATCAAAAGTGTTAGAACGGATAATAGCAAATCGTATTGCATGGCTCACTGAGTCGCAGTTACTCATCAACTCTAACCAAGTAGCCTTCAGACCTAACAGAGGCTGTACAGACGCCCTCCTTCACATAGACTTCTATGTGACAAAAGCTCTCTCAACCCGCAATCACGTCTCCATGCTATCACTAGATTTTGAAAAATCATTTGACCGGATAGGACTCCATGTCATCTTAAACCGCCTTCGTTCGTGGGGAATTGGTCCCAAAATGTTCTCTTTTGTCAAGTCCTTCCTACAAAATAGAAAATTCCGCGTCAGAATACAAAACGTATTCTCCGAGACGTATACCCTAAATAATGGCGTACCGCAAGGTTCCCCATTATCGGTAGTGCTCTTCAGCATCGCCTTCAACGAAATAAGCAACATAATAAAATCAAATAACTATGTGGATCATTGTATTTATGCAGATGATGTTTACATACTCTGTAGAAGGAATAAAAATACAGAAAACAATTTAATTTTTAAGAACATTATAAAAGATATTCTGGATTGGACCAAATATTCCGGAGCTAAAATATCTCTAGAAAAAAGTAAAAATTTCCACATTTGTAGGAAACACTCGTGTGATTCTTACAACCATAATTTAGCTGTAAATAATGTTCAAATAGAGAATGTAAAAAAACTTAAAATCTTAGGTATTATATTTTCCAATAATTACCGCTGGACGGACCAATGTTTGAATATCAAAAGAGCATTAGCTGCCAGAATAAACCTTATTACGTATCTCGCAAGTAAAAAATGCCATGTACATACTGTAATATAGCATAGCACACTTTTATGTGACGTGCCCTTTAGCACACTTATGTGTACTTATGTGTCTTGACCTTAAGTACGTATAATATTGCGCTGCCTCTCGAACGCTCCATTGTTAATAAACCCAACACTAGAATTATCCATATACATATGAATAAACCACCACTACATTTTCTACCACTAAGCAACGTGCTCAAGTAATTTCTTTTCCTCCGGCTGTTAATAAGTATATATATTGTAAGTACAATATATGTGTACTATTTGAAGTGGATATTCGTAAGTACGAATATACTACAAACTGGCGACGAGTCAAAAGAAAAAAATACAATAATTCAACATGGAAGAATTAATGAAATTGATGATGGTGGTACCACAATTTGAGCCCAGCATCGAGACATGGGCAATATGGCGCGAAAAACTAGACATTCACTTAGCTGAAATAAAATGTGAAGAAGAGGAAGAAAAGAAGAATGTGTTGCTGAAGACGGTGGGTACGGCCGCATATAGTACACTACACAGTTTATGTAGTCCGAAAACTCCTCGACAAAAACTTTTAAAGAATTGTGCCTAATTTTAGAGACACATTATACGCCCCCAGTAATTGTGTTCCAAGAACGAAAAAAGTTTCATCTATCCAAACAATTAGATAGCGAAACAGCGGCAGAGTGGTACACTCGTGTAAAAAAGCTTGCGTTAACCTGCAAATTTAAAATTTGAAAATTAAAATGCATTCATTTTAAATCAATTTATCGTTGGGGCAAAGACCAAAATATACGAAAAATTGTGTGAAGAAGCTGAAACTATTACTTGTGAAGAGGCTTTAAGAAAAGCAATGGTTCTGGAGTGCAAAATGGCGGCAAAGGCCGAAAATAAAAATGAGGTTAGCGTGAATTTCATGAAAAAGAAGAAAAATTTCAACAAAGATGCGAGTCAATCTAACAAAAACGAGCGAAAAACGAGTAGTCATTGCGGTTGGCGTAACCATGAGTCCGAAAAATGCAAATTCAAGAAAAGCAAATGCAATTCATGCGGTAAAATTGGACATCTTGCTTCTGTATGCCGGATGAAAGTACAATTAAATTACGTATCTAATAGTAGTAAGGTTGAAGATGATTGCAAAGATGATATTTTTAATTATTATATTTTTAGTGTAAATGATCAAAAGCCGAATGAGGTGTATTCTCTTTCTGTGTCGTTTGATGGTATTGAGGTTAGAGCAGCCTGCGATACAGGTGCACCGTGTACGCTGATATCAGAGAAATTTTTCAAACAACATTTTAACAAAACTATTCTTAAGTGTAACACAACCTATCTTGATTATAGTGGTGATCGCATACAAATTGTTGGTGAGTACAATGCACAGATTATGTACTTGGGTATTAAGAAAGAGATTACTGTAGTTGTGACCAAACATGATAACCCACCTCTGTTAGGTAGATCATTTTTACGCGCGTTCAATTTTGAACTTTTACAAGTCAATTCAATTAACAATCTTACTAAAGAGGAGTTAGCTCGAAATATTAAGAGTGAATTTTCAAATGTTTTTCAAGACTCACTTGGTAAATACAATGTGAGCAAAGTATCTTTATCTTATTTTTATCTTTATTATGGCGTCCATTGCCATTGGCAGGGAAAGACAAAGTCGAAACAAAATTACGTGTTTTAATAAAACAAGGAGTTCCTGAGCTGGTTGATCATTCTGACTGGGGTACACCTTTAGTCCCAGTCTTGAAGCCAAACGGTGATTTGAGAATATGTGCTGATTACAAAGTAACTTTGAACAAGTATTTAGTTGACGTAAAATATCCATTGCCGCGTATTGAAGAAATTTTTGCATCTCTACAAGGTGGGGAATTGTTTACTAAGCTCGATTTATCGAATGCGTATAACCAATTAGAGTTAGATAAAGCATCACAATTATTATGTACGTGGAGTACACACATAGGCACTCTCAAAGTCACTCGTTTGCCGTTTGGTATCAAGCCTGCAGCTGCAATATTTCAAAAAGCTATTGAAAGCTTATTGCGTAACATCGCAAACGTCGTAGTTTATGAAGATGATATTACTATTACAGGCAAAAATATGGAAGAGCATATAAAAACTTTAAGACTTGTATTGGAGAAATTAAGATCAGCGAACTTAACTTTAAATTCGAAAAAG